TCTGATTTCAGTAAAGACTCTCCAAGGAACTCTCTACCCTCCTCCCCGCCACCCCATCTCACTTTATATAAACACCTAGTGAGTCCTAGGATCCAAGATTCAGGGAATAGTAGTAAGGTAGCAACTAGACCCACCCAGTTAACTCAAAAGCAATCCCCTTTCTAGCATGTCTCTCCCTGGTGGTAACTCACCTTACTGGTTAGTTTCTGGCTCCAGCCTGATTGCCTCTCCCAGCTCCATGAGGGTTAATGCCAAACCCTACAGTATTGCAGAAGGCCTTTAGGGGAGAGGAATCCTAACCAGATTCACCCAGCCTTTACCTGAAACACCAGGTTCCCACTCAAACTAACCTCAGCCCCTGATTTCTCCCAAGAAGAAACCTAGTCCCCCCTCCAATGGCTTCTGCTCTATACAGGACTCCCAATAGTGCATCTGCTTTTTCCCTAAGCACCAAACTCCTCCCAGCCTCTTACCTATTGAGCTTACAGGTACATCCAGCTCCACCCTGCCTAACCCTAAGTCCCTCCTCTTCCTTCCTTCCTTCAGTTCCCAGCCCCAGTCCCTATGCCTGTGCCAGGTTACACAGCATCTGGGTCCTGTCAAATCTGCCCAAAGCCCACTTCATTCTCTCCTATATAAATTTATTCGCCTTTCTCAAGCTATTTGAAGACCACTTGTCCTTAACATGCTGCCTCTTAAAAAAAAAACAACAAAAAACAGAACCTTGTCAATGATTCATAAAGGGGGTAGGAGGAGTTTTATTTCTTTACCGATGCTAAATAAACATGCCCTGTGCCCTCTAATATGGGCATGATTCCCTGTTTTCTGCCAGGGGCCTTTGTCAGTTCAAATCTCTTTTCTCCTGAAGTCTTTTTTTTTCTCTATATATGCTCCTCCACCCTCCCTCCCCCAATTTCTATTTTCTTCCCATTCCAAAACATCACATTTCTCCTCTCCTTGAAGAACATGACTTAATAATAATAGCTCACATTTATTTAGTGCTTACTAAGTGCCAAGCACTTCACAATTATCATCTCCTTTGATCCTCACAACAACCCTGGGAGGTTGATGCTATTATCTTTTTCAGATGAGGAGACCAAGGTAAGCTGAGGGCAAATGGCTTGCCCAAAGTCACCCAACTAGTAAGTGTCTGAGGCTGGACTTCAACACAAGTTTTCCTGACTCTAGGCTCAGTGCTCTAAACACTGAGCCATCTAACTGCTTTCACTTTGCTTCTTCGGAGTCAAGATAGCCCTTCCCTGGGGGGGGGGGGGTGCCCTCCCCCCCCCCAATGTACACCCAGGGGTTTTGCTGCTATTCACTGTAATAATTCAAAGGTGNAGCCATCTAACTGCTTTCACTTTGCTTCTTCGGAGTCAAGATAGCCCTTCCCTGGGGGGGGAGGGCACCCCCAATGTACACCCAGGGGTTTTGCTGCTATTCACTGTAATAATTCAAAGGTCGATGTAGTTCAGATTCACCCATTTCCATCAGACTCCTGGTAACATAAAATAGCAAAATAGTCATAAAAAAGAGTTAAAAGATTATGCTGCTTTCTGAAAAGTTCTCATACTTCTCCAACTCATTGAATGCCCTCCACCTTTTCACAATCTCTCTGGAATTTATGAATCCTCATTTTAGACCGAGACTATCCTTCATCCACACATAGACGGGGTTTGTCCTCTATTTTTCTTACTGTGATGCCAAACTATAAAACCAAGATGACAGAAAACCTTTCTGTAGTCATCTTCTGCATCATTCAGGTTTTTTTTTTTTTTCATTTCATTCCCATCGATCCAGTCCATCATTCTCGTCACATATCTGGTCACTGTTCTTCTGATTTCCAATTTCACTGTGATGTTCCAAACAAATAACAAAAGCCAACACACTCTCAGCCTCCCTCCCTGTGTTTTCTATTTTATTCCATGGGTTATTTGTCATAATTTGTTCGGGTGTTCTCAAGGTTCTTCCAAACACCCAGAGAAGATGCTTGAGAGCCTCACCTGAAAGGCTACAAGTGAAAATTTGTTTTTCTTTGAGAGCCCCCAAACCACCAAAAGTCAGTTCCTGGAACCCTTATCCCCAAAATCCTCTTTATTTAAAAAATAAAAAGGTGAATCTGAGCAGCTGGGTCTACCTAACAGGCATTCTGGTTAACAGTTCGGCATGAAATAGTAGTTGACAAATCACACCCTGTTTGTCCAAGGGCATTGCCTAGAAAAAGTCAACCTGAATCTACCAGCAGTGCTGTAGGAGACAGAAAATTAGTCCAATTCTCATTATTTACCCTTGGCCATAAACCTGCTAAAAGTTGTAATTACAGTTTGATCACTGGATAAGCACCATATGCAGCTTTTCCTGCTAAAGGAATAACAATTTCTAAAAAGCAGACAGCTCCTTCCCGTGAAACCCGCCAGGTTTATAGATCTCTTTATTGGTGCATGTATCTCACCTTCTGAATTACAGCCCGCCGTGAGCTGAGCACTGACGGAAGCTGGGGGCCAGGTGCCTTTCGCACAACAGTCACATGCTCTGATTTACAAGGCACAGTCAAGCAATAAGGCATTGGCTTAACGGACTGAGGCATTTAGAATCAGGTTTTGCTTTTGTTTTTAATGGTGACCATACGCGCTGGGTGGCTGTACATAAACATGGCTTACAGAAAGCAGTAAGAATGTCCCAGTTTCAGGTCCACATCCATGGTAAGGGTCAGAATCATGAAGGTGCAACTATCTTTCAAGAGCTCTTGTTTAAAGACACTTCCCTTGATTCATGGTTACAGCTTTAAAATCTTAAAAGGATAACAGGCTTAGGAGCCTTCATCTAGGTACTAATCGAGAACCTAGAAAATCAAAGACAGCAAACCCTGCCTAATCTCTCTTTCTCTCTGACACACATTCCACCTTGTGTTTCAGTCTCTTCGTGTATTACACAGAAATCAAGATTCTATGGTGAAAAGCAAAAGAACCAAAACAATAAATCACATGTCAGAAATCATAGATTGATATGTCAACAAGATAATTAGCTTTACTTGGTTCCCATCTGCTGCAAATTTGCTATTATTTTTCCCCTGGACCAATGGTTTAAAGTGCTCCTCCCTATCACATCATAGAAGAGTTTATAAAATGAAGACAATCCCAGGAGAATTTTAGAAGCCTTTAGTCTGACGAAAAATTATCTTCAAGTATTGTTTTGTGACCTTATAAAGGAACCGAGGTCAGATACTTCTAACCAGTATTGTTAAAAATTATTAATGTCTTTTATCATATTCATTTATGAACATCTTCCTTCCTACCTCTTCAGCAAACCCTGCCCTTACAGCAAAAATTTCAAGAGAAAGAAACCAGTTCCACAAGACCAAAGCACCTATTGCAGCTGGCACTACATGCAGTATAACTCTAGTTTCCTATCTCTGCAATGAAAGGCGAGAGGTACATTTTCCCAATTCTCTGCTCCTTACCAATCTATTTCAAGGAACAGTCTTGAGCTTTATTTCCAATGAACAGAAGACAGTGGTTTGAAGTCAGTCTAAGTGCATTTATTCCCTGTTCACACCAAGCCTGGGTTTTCACTGAAAGGCAAGTTACTGTCACTCACATCCTACATCGCCTATTTTCTTATAAAAGGCCTTTCAGTTTGCACGAAGACCCAATTTACTGGTTCTATATGACTACTTTCTCTACTAATAAAGAAAGGGTCTGGGAGTCCTAGGTTTCTGTAAGGTTCAGTGAGGAAAAAGGTTAAAGACAACGGAATATCAGAGGCAGCCAAGTCCAGTGGAAACGGTGCTGGCTCTAGATTCAGTAAGACCTGAGTTCAAATCCTACCTCTGATACTTACTACTTGTGAAACCTTGAGTGGGTCACTTTATCTCAAAGGGCTTCAGTTTCCTCATCTGTAAAATAAGGGATGCTGGACCCATGGCCATTGGCTCCTGTTTGATGCTTGATGCATAGAATTGCCATTCTTGATTAGAACACTTAATTTTGGATTTTCTTTTCTTTAGGTAATTGGGGTTAAGTGACTTGCCCGGGGTCACACAGGTAGTTAAGTGTCAAGTGTTTGGTCTGAGGCTGGATTTGAACTCAGGTCCTCCTGACTTCAGGGCTGGTGCTCTATCCACTGCGCCACCTAGCTGCCCCTGGATTTTCTTTTCAACGGTACTTCAGAGGCTACAAAAAGAAGAGCCTTAGGAAAAGGGAGAGAGAAAACAAGTAGAACCTAAAAATAATAATTTTTGTGTAATGCTAAGATTAATTCCCAGTATTTATTTGAACAGTGTGAGTCACATACCTATTATTGCTTATCAAACAAGTTCTCATACATCTAGAGTACTTTTAATTACATTCATAGTTTGGAATGTTGGGGCTTGTGCAATTGAGATTTTTACTATGCAAGAAAAAAGTGATAAAGTATGTAAAATGAGCATTGACTACTACTCGGCTTTGTTCTCTCTCTGAAAATTCCTCCTGCAACTGATGTTATACACAGAACACAGGGGATCCCATCCTGAAGGATGATTCACTGTAACAATTCTCAAAAGCATGCAACTCTGCAGACCTCAATGAAAAACCATTCATAAATTCACAAAGGAATTGGCCCCTCCCCCACCCCCCAACATTAGTATCAAAACCAAACTGAGTTTGTTCTGAGATGTGAAAACAGTTCTCTCTCAACTGCATGGGCTATAAGCCACAAGAAAATAAAAGGTTCCTTTGGAAGAAGAGTTATGATGTCTTGATTCAAGAGCTTTCCCCTGGAATATCCAGCTGGCAGGCAGGGCCTTGTTTCACCACACCTGGCAGCTCCGAATCACTTCCTTCAGGGCTCTCACCCCTTCCACACTTTTTTCCTTCAAGGCCAAAGCCAGGAGAATAGGCCTGTTTCCTGCTTCTTGAGACACGAACGTCACTAGGTTCTTTGCAAAGACATGGATAAGGGGCTGGAGAGGCAAAGGAAGGAGAAAAGTCACACAGAGAGTTACTTTAGTGGTGAGAAGTTGCGCCTTTTTTCTTAATACCTTCATTAAGTATCCCTTATTTAGAAATAGATACAGGATTCTTGCACCACCATTAAATTACCACACATTAAATCTGATGTGATGGTGATTCAGCATCAATGAACATACATCCATAACAACCAGTCACAAACAAACTGATAAAGCAGCATCATTAAGTGTATTTTCCTCGTGCCTTCTAATTCCCAGGTCTCTCCTGCTTATCTTTAGTCTGGGAAGGCTAAGGAAAAGGCAAGTCTGCAAAGGGACCTTCATTAAATCTCTTTGATCATCTTTCCAGACTGGAACAAGCCCAGCTAGCCATTCCTTAAGTAACAGTACTAGGAAAGGTTCAGACTAAGGGAAAAAAAAGACACAAGTTATGGAGCCAACAGATTTATTCTTCTATCGAACAGAAGGCCAAATGAGTGACCAAAGCATTTACTGAGAACACAGGGGACATTCCTATACAAAGAAGATACTTGGAAATAACAAACACTTCTGGCATCACAGTAGTGATGCATAATAAATATTTCAGACATTCAGCAGCCCTAAAGTCATCTTAAAACTAAGTGATTTCTCCTGCATCTCTGGGATCCCCTATTGACCACTTTACCTCATCTTGCCCGAGGAGCACTCTAGTAGTGATTGCAGGCTTGCAGATATCATTGGCTACCGTACTAGGCTCCAGAGAGACCAGGGTACCCATTTTTCCATACTGGGTCACCACCACAAGGATGTGACTGCTGAAAGCTGTGCAGACCACCTGGGTCGGGACACCACAAACCACTTCAACCTTCTGTTTTGAGGTCACAATTGGTCTGGCTTCCACAGCAGGGTCGTTTAAGTGACAGCTAAAATAAATAAAGGAAAGGAACACATCAACAATAAGCACTGCAGTCCAACATAATACCACTGCATATCCCTAAGAGCTGAAAAATGAACATTATTTGGTGATGACAATGAAGTACACAATAAGCGAAGAGACACAAATAGGCCCATTTAAAAGCTGACACGCTGGAAAAAGAGAACTTTTCACCCTGTAAATTTTTCAAAAAGGCCATCTTAATTGGGTGTATATAATATATGTACATAATAGGCACACAATGCAAAGAAAGCAAAATGTAGAAAGATGATTTGCATCATTAGAGGATGTTGGCAGCAGAAGCGGCATGGGACATATTTAACTTCCCACCCCTCTGAAAATTCAGTTGATGAAATTTATTACTTTTGTGGTTTCCTACTGATCTTAATTGTCCTCATTTAAATCTTGGGAGGCCTTTAGTCATTTAAGGGCTATTGGTTTTGAATGAAAACACCCCAGATACTTCTGCTTAACAGCCAGGGCATAAATAAAACCTGTTTTTTACCCCAGGACTGAGATTACAATTTACTGATTAAAATTTTCAGATTTCATCTTGTTTTTTCAAAGCAGTAGGACTAACATTTTAATATCCCCAACAACTACTGAACTATCTAACACAGAAGTCAATCAATCAACTAGCATTTATAAAGTGTCTACTGTGTGCCAGACAGCCCTCAGTGGTGGTGGTGGGGTGGGGGGGAAGGTGAGGGAACCATAAACCCCACAGTCTATAATAGTTAAGAAAAATGCACTGAGGGATCAGCACATGAATGAGAATGGGATATAGGAATGCTGTACCCAAGCTCAAGGGATGTACAAAAAGGGAGTGAAAAGACATGATCACTGGGGCACAGAAGAGGGAAGGGGGTAAGAAGGGCACTAAGGCACAGAAGGAAGGGAGTACCAGGGCTGCTAAGAGGGCCAGGAAGCGGACAAAAAAGAGGTAAGGAGCACAAGGGTTGCAGAGTGGGAAAGGAGCTGGTAGGCACAAAAAAGGGAAGGTGGATATGTAGTCCTAGAGGGAAAAGAGAACAGGCTGCAGAGAGAGAAGGGGCACTTGAACCCACCACAGGGATAGGGCCTGGGATGAAGGTGGGAGTGTGTGTGTGCAGGCGGGTAGGTGGGCCTGTTGGAAGAAAGGGGTTGGAGGGGGGCACTGAAGAGGGAAGGGGGCACCAGGGCACAAGAGAGAGAAAAGGAGTATGGGGTTAAGGAGGGAGAAAAGGGGTAGAGGGGGGCATGGAGGGTCACAAGGGTTGCATGGAAGGAAGGGAGCACATGAGTACACAGAAAAGAGGGGGTATATGTGTACCTAGCGGGAGAAAAGGGATGGTGAGGGGCACTGAGGAAGTAGGGGCACAAGGGTTAGGGAGTGGGAAGGGGGCACTGGGGCAGAGGTGGGCTAGGAGCAGAGGAAGGAAGTGGCAGAAAGGTGAGAGGAGGGCACGTGGGCACAGAGAAGGGAAGGGGCACTGGGGCAGAGGTGGGTGAGGGGCAGAGGAAGGAAGGGGCAGAAAGGTGAGAGGAGGGCACGTAGGCGCAGAGAAGGGGGCACTGGGGCAAAGGTGGGTGAAGGGCAGAGGAAGGAAGGGGTAGAAAAGTGAGAGGAGAGCATGTGGGCACAGAGAAGGGAAGGGGGCACTGGGGCAGAGGTGGGTGAGGGGCAGAGGAAGGAAGGGGCAGAAAGGTAAGAGGAGGGCACGTGGGCACAGAGAAGGGAATGGGGCACTGGGGCAGAGGTGGGTGAA